ATTTGACAAAAAAAAAGCAAAAATAATATGTCGAAATATTTTTTTTTATTATCAGGAACTTCCAAAATTAATTCGTGGTTATCATAAATGTTCAATTGATGAAGCTGTTCAATTAGCCGCTTGTATATATCGTGTTCGATTCGGTGATAATACAGCTCTATTTGAAAATATTCAGTAAGATTAAATAATGTATAGTTTTTATAAATTTTCGCAGTAGAGAGAGAAGAATAAAAATAGAATAATATTTAGTCTGATGAAATCAAAAATTAAGAAGATTTCCTTCTGTCTCTTAAGAGAAATTTGAAACTTTCATGGTAGATAGATCTTGATAAGTAGAGCAAAAGTTGTTGTAGAGTCAAGATTTCGAAATTCTTTCTTCTAGGAGATATCAAAGTCGCAAAGAATGTAAGTTTTCTTGCTTTCTCACATGTAATACATTTGGTAGAGTTGATATTTTTCTTCCTTCCATTCGAATAACAAAATAAAAATACTTAATGTACCGTAAGAATACATGTTTCTTTTGTAAACTCTGCACATTGTGCGTTTACGCGGACATTAAGTCAAAAAACAGCGAGCGATTCAAATCATGCTCTATATAATGGCACAAAAAAATTGAAATAGATTGAAACTTGCAAAATTCAAAAGCTTGCCTCAGTCTATGTATTGCCTGGTATCGACCATTGAAGACATCTGTTACTTTGAATGTGCGATTGTTGACAAAAAAAACGTATTTTTTTAAGCAACTTACAGAACTACGAAAAGTCTAAGATCATATTGGCCCTTATTGTGATTTAACTGAAATCAAGACATTTTACTGAAATTTTCGTTTAGGACCCTGTTTTTTCCAGTAGAATCATATTTTTGAACTTTACACGTATCAAGACTGAAACTAGTCTAGCTTGTATAACTGTTTCACATAGTATTACCAAAATATAAATTTTTAAAAATATAAATATTTTTCTATATGTATTGTTTAAAACGTGAATATCCACAAAAATTCATATTTCGGATATGCTCTGTACAAAAGTTCTACAAGCTAGCTTAGTTGCAGTCACAATATTACAAAATTTAAGAATATGTCTTTACTGAAAAATCACCGTCCTACAGAAAGATTTCAGTTAAGCTTCTCGATCTCAGTCAAAGCATAACATGGGTCAATATGTACTCTATCACAACAGTTAACATTAACGGTCTTAACCAATACAGCAAGTTTTATCGCTAAGATTCTTTTGTTTCCGACTCCAAAGCATTGCTATTAAAAATCAATAGCATATTCGGAAATAGCGTTCTAAATTAAATCGGATGATATAAAACCCAAAACATTTTCTAATCAGAAAATGTGGACAATGGTTTCCTTCAGGTTTTTTTGTATCGAAAAAATCTTCATTTTTGTTTTAAAAGTGATTTTCTGAATGGCAGATTTATCTTATTGGAAAAATAGGATAGTAGATGAAATCAGGATTTGCATCTTAATTCGGATTAATTGTTTGGTTTTTCTCAGTAAAAAAATGACATAAAATTATTAATTTTAAATTTAATTTTAGATTAAAAGATTTCCTTCCGGCTGATCTTGTTGACAAACTTCCGTATGCTGAATGGAGAAAGGTATCTTTTATCATAATGTATTTTTTTTTCTCTTTACTGATTAATATTTGAAATGTTTTAGCGAATTATTGCTGTTCACGCCGAATCACAAAATTTATCACCTGAAGATGCAAAAATAAAATTTCTTAAAATTCTTTATCAATGGTCAACATTTGGTTCCGCATTTTTTGAAGTGAAAGTATGAAATTTAATTTTTTAATGAAAAAGAATATTTTAAAAGAAAATTCTTTTTAGCAAACATCTGATCCAACATATCCTGAACAATTATTAATAGCAATTAATAAAAATGGTGTAAATTTAATTCATCCAAAATCTAAAGATCTATTAATTACATATCCATTTACGAGTATCTCAAATTGGTCTAGTGGAAATACTTATTTTAATATGGTAAAATATTTTATTATGAAATTCAAATATCATTTAATAAAATTATTTTCTTTTTTTTTTTATAGACTGTAGGTGATATTGTTCGAGGTACTCGTTTATTATGTGAATCCCCATTAGTAAGTTTTGTTTTGTAATTAAAAACGTGATATTTATAATGTCTTGTTTTTAGGGTTATAAAATGGATGATCTTCTGACATCATATATAAGTTTGATGGTACAGACAATACATCGTCAATCAACAAATGCATCTTCTTCACGACAATAATAGTGCTTTTAATTAGCGTTTATTTATTTATTTTTTCTTCTCTTTGTTGTTCGTAAGCGTGTTTTTAATTTGACAGTTTCTTGTTTTTTTCTTTTTTTCTTCTTTTTTTTCAATTCAATGATGATAATTTATATGTATCTACTTCTGGTACTATCTATATATATTCTCAATAACGACGATTTGTTTTTCTGTTTTATTTCTTTTGCTATACAAAATTTTTTTTTTGTCTGAGTGTTTGTGAAGAAAAACTCAAGCGATGATTTTTTTTTTCTCCTTTTTTTTCTGTTGATTGAGAAGAATTAATAAAAAAATCTGCAAGTAAAATAATAAAATGATTTTTCAATGATACAAATTATTATGTACAAAGAATGTAATAAATAGATGCTGTAATTAAGTTATTTCTTGTAATAAAAGAGTTGCCTTAGTTAATTTGTTTTTTTTCGAGGTATTAGAATTTCTGATCTTGTAAAATCCTCCAAATATCTTCCCAAGCACTCAAAATGACTTTGGTTTTGTTTTTATAAATATGTTCTATTAAAAGTTACTAAAATAATAAAATATAATAGATAACTCGCGATTATCTTCCATAAGGAATACGTTTAGCCATTGTGCAGAAAAAATTTTATTTTGAAAAACACTAACCGTAAAATAGGATCTGTAGATATTTGATATTGTCACATAGTGATTCGAATAGAATAAAAATATTTTCATGATTTTTGCTAATACTATAGTTCTGTTAAATATTGTTTTTCTTAGCGAAAACTGTAGTATACTAGCATTTATTTGCTAAAAATGCCTATTTACATACGAGAAACATATTTCAAATTCTAGAGATAAATGTTAGCAAAAAGAACTTTAACTCTTGCAAAATTCAAGTCAATTTAATATTGATCAAAGAAAATTTTTTGATTTAGTTCAATTAGTTGTGAAAAACTACAATACAAAGCGCTATACACACATGACATCTTCATTATTCAACAAACAACTATTTTTTTTTCATAATGAAATCAAATTTTATTGGAAGACGTTTAAGTTATTGCTTAAGTCAATAACAAACAAATCTTTTATTTTTCTTTCACATGTTATTACACAACTTCAAACGAAATATTATTTAAATCATAAGTATAAAACGTAAGACAAATGCGGTCCGAAGGCTAATGGTTATCAAATTATTCTTGAAACCCCCATTAGTCACTCTCATGACCGCTTTTTTTACACTTTTCAAAACTATAAATATGTAAGACGCGCATGATACAATAATTGAGTAAATTTTTTTCTAGCTCATTTATATATCACGAAAAGTTAATCAGAGATATATTACTTTTCAATCGATTGATCAATGTTTTAAAGAAAAAAAGCAAAAGATTAGGGCGGTATGAAAAAAAAAACAGTTCAAAACAGCTAAAAAAAAGTGAATTTTCAAGTTTTTTGTTATAAAGGGCTTTTTTCTAATTCAACTTCAAAAAATGCCATTTCAATAAGTTTGAAATGAAGTATCATATCTCATTAGAATCGTTAGATATTGACTTTCGAACGTAACGTATTAGGTTTTCTAGATTTTGTTTTCTCGTTGAGAAAATTGTTTTCTTTCCATTTATTCGTACTTATATACTAAGACCGTAAAAAAAAGATGCATAAATTTTAGCAAAGAAAAAGTTCTTTTGATATTTAATCAAAAGTCATATGATTCGTTACTATTTTGTGGAACTCAAGTACATTTTCGAGGGAAATATACATGAATGGGAGTTTAAATTGAAGTTTTTTCGACTCTTCCGATAAATTTTAAGAATAATGTTTTGATTTCTCAGAACTGTCAGATGACTAACACAAAACTATGTATTGATTAAATCTTAGCTTCGGAAGGAATAATCAATTTTGATCTTTCTGAGTTCATTGAGATCCATCTCAGAGATTATTAAGATCTGCTGCCGATATAACGAATGTATATAACAGGCTTAATTATCAATTAAATCAATACTTAGACTATTAATAATAAATTATGAAAAGTAAATATCATGTAAATAGAAAAAAGGCGAGTGAATAAATGAATAGCATTTGCTGACCATTGATTATTATTGAAAAAGAAGTATAGTCTTTTAGAAGTTTTACACTTTGTATGTATCTTATTAGCATAATGAAACTAAATAAGATATATTAGTACCATATTGCAGACACAAATGATTTGCGCTAACAATTTTTTTTTACGCTGATTCCAAATATTTTATATGTTCTTTTATACCAAGCAAAAAGTAAAGATTAAATTGAATAAATATGTACATATTTTCTTTACGATTTTAACTTATAAATAGATGACAGAGTCATGCCGGTTAACCCTTCCATATCCAAGTCATTCATTTATTTTCTTAAATTCTGTGCTCTTTGCATCATTTGTCAAGAATATTTGTTTAAATTTTTTGAATGTTGTTTCCAATAACAAATACTCTATTTAATTAAGTGAATTTATTGGAAAATTACAAAAAAGAAAAATCAATGTTGATTATATTTTACTACAATATTCAAATCATTAAATCGAAAAAAAAACAAACAAACAAATGATCATAACACAGATGACTATCGATATATTTTACTATTCTAATCATCATTTTCTTTCTATATATTTAATGCTTACAAATAATAAATACACGTGTTAAATAAAAAGAATGAAATAAACACAAGAACAAATCATTTTATATCGATATTTGTGTTTTTCTATATATGAAAACTCTTTTATTTAAAATTCTAGATGGACTCTAGTCCTCAAAAAGCATTTATTATTGTTAATGATCTTGAACAACGTCTTAAAAATCTTTATACAACATGCGTACATGATGAACAGACATTAAATGATCTTGAATCACTTCTTAATGAATGTTCAAATCAATTGAATTATCTTATTTCTTCATCAAATTCAACATTAATTGCTATTATTCTTCCAACACTTCTTCATACAATAATATCATTATCAAAAAATTGTGCAGAAAAATCAGATATAATTATATTAGGATCATATTTATCACAAGATAAACTTACATCATTAATAACTATAACGAAAACATTACATAATCAAATAAAAGAATTTGTTAAATCACCTAAACTTAATATTATTTTAATGAAATCAACACAACAAAGACATTTTTGTGAACAATTACGTCTTGTCTCAGATTCAATAGCTAATATAGATATTCTTACAACATTAATTTGTCATAAACTTATTGTTAAATTATTAACAGGTAGTGATGAACAACAACAACAACAATTATCATATAATAAAATTGAAAATATTAATGATGGTTTAATAGTTGCTGTCTATAAAAGTTTATTACGACAGATGTCTACTATTTGTTCAAGAAATTTACGAGATAAATCAGATAATAATCGTGAATCACCAACTATTAAAGTAAATATTTTTTTTGTATTCTTTTACAATAAAACTTATTCTCTAGATGTTAAAAAAATTTCGTCAATCAAAACAAAAGTTATTATAGATTAACTTATTTATCTTTTACTTATTTGTCTAAATAGTAATAGTACTTCATTAACATAGCAATTAGAATATTTGTTATATTATCATTTCAATAGTGTACACTTTATTGACATACTATTTGCATATTTATTAGTGCAGAACTAATTTCTTACACTTGAAAATTCATATAGTACATGATAATCGAATATAAATTAGCTTTTGTTTGATTTAAAGAAAGAGGAAATGTTTACCAGGAAAACATATCTCAATAAATCCGACACTTAAAAGGGTAACTATAAAGTTTTGCCTCAAAAACAGGAGATCTATGTAGACTTTTAAATCACGATTTCCTCTATTCAATATTCCATACATTATCGAATTTTATGTGTATAATGTATTCTCTTATGAACTATAAATGCACTCAAAAAATGTTCGGACATTTACCTTTTTACTGTACAGATACTGCATTTTTGCTAAATGTTCTAACCTAATACCCTTACTATCACTTAGAAAAACTGATTTTCAAATGTCGACTTCAGAAACAAACTCTATGAGTTTCCGATCTTTTGATTTATATTTCAAATAAACTTCAATTATGATAGTCAATAGTGACTATAACTAATCTATTGATTATAGAGTGTATAGATTGATCTTAAAATCCTAAAAGTTATATTAAACAATAACAAATCTCTTGTCTGAAAAATAATTTTCTTTTTTTTTTTTTAATGTTTAATTTTCAAGAACGATTATTGTTGTTGTTTTTAATGATTTTTGCTAGATGTATGGAATTTATTTTCAAATGTTACATAAATTAATTCAATACAATGGTACAATATCTCAAATTGAAAATTATCAAGAATTTATTCATACAATACATCAAATACATATATGTCTTGAATCAACATGTCAACAAAATCGTTTTCAATTAGAATTTTTTAATAATACAATATTATTACAAGAAATTCTACAAGATTTTATATTTTATTCATTAAAAACTTCATCAAAATTATTTTTTGATGAATTATTTAATGAATTATCCACAAATAAATATAAATATGCATCATTAATTTTACTTTTTCGTATTATTGAAGCATTTGATATTTGTTTAACTAAACAATCTAATGATGATCTAACACTAAATCTTATAAATTCTTTAATAACTCATCTATTTAATTTAATTGATGAATGTCATATACAACTTATATTACCAGCACTTCTTCCTATAACATTTAGTAAAACACAAATTGAATATGGTAGTCTTTATGATATAACATATTCAATAATAATGAGAATTTCAAAACATAAATCAATGCAAATTATTCTTTCAGTAATGACGAAAATTTTACAAATATCAAATGAAAATTCTTCAATTATGTTAACATCAATACAATTATCTAGTGAATTAATTATACAATCATGGTATTTATATAATCAATTAATTGAATATCAATATTTATTTGGTTTATTTCTTTCTGAATTATTTCGACTTAATATACATATAAATTTAATAAATTATTTATTAACAATGCCAAATATACGTACAATGAAATATTATACATATGATATATATATATCATCAAATACATATAATTCTATATATGATTTTTATTTACTTATTAAAAATAATTCATTAAAAGAACCATTTATTAATTCAACAAATATATCATTTATTTATCCAACAAATATTGAACATCTTTATATATTTATACGTTTATTTAATACAGAATTAAATTTAAATCAAATACAATATACAATTGATACATGTATTTATTCTATACAACAATTTCTTTCATTACCTTTTATAACAGAATTAACATCAATGAATTTTATATTAATTTTACGTATATTATCATATATAAATATAAATAATTCAAATGAAAATTTTAAATGTTTACTTGGTCAATTAACACAAATATTTATTTTACTTGATGAACAAACAGCTATGGATATTAGATTAGAATTATTAAATGTTTTTACAATACATTCAAATATACTTGATGATAATGATCTTGGAAGATTGTTAGACTTTATGTTAACAAATTCAATTGAATCAAATTCAAATTCACTTGCATTTCATATTGGTTGTTTAAATGTTGTAGATTCATTAAAACAACGATCATCACGTAGTGCTAATATAACTGATCTTATTATACAATTAATTGTTCGATATGGAAATGAACATCAATGTAGTCATTTACTTAAAGCTCATCTTATGGTTAGTTAATATATATATAAAGTGATACAAAAATAAGAGAATGCAAATTATTTTTCGATTCCTTCGAAAGTACACAAATAAATCCTGCTATTCGAATATGAATGTTTAGAAAAACTCAATGTTTTTCGAGTATCATGATTTCACTATAAAAATCGAATAGAGCTCGAATATATATCATACTTCGTTTATATGAGTAGTTAGATATATTTGTACATTAATAAGAGATTTCATGAACTATGTGCAAAGAAGAAATCGAAAAAATCCTAAGTTCTTTCTATTTTTAGGGTTACTCTGTATATTTCTTTTTATCGAGATTGTAATATATTATATATTAGAATGTATTAAAAAAAATTCATCAGGGAAATATACAGACAACATATTAGAATAGTAATAGAAGGAATATTACTTTGAGCAAATGACTTATAATCATGCCTTGACTTGTCACATTAAAATCTATCTAGAGATGAATAGAGTGAAGATGAGAAGTCACAAGCTTCTTCTATAAATTCCATTTAGCATCTATAAATAACTATTTGTGAATGAACAATCAAATTAATGAAAATATGTATGTCTATTTACGATTCATGATCTTCAAAAGAAAAAAAAAATTTGATACATAAAATTTAGAGAATATCTCGATGATTGAGAACGTTAGATAATCTAAAAACATATATATCTAATTATCAATAAAAATTGCATCCGGTTTCTTTCGGATGTAGTTGCGGCAAAATCACAAGCTCATATTAAAAAGATTTATGATCCAGTCTATGATAGATGCCCTGTCATCCATTGTCTTGATTGTTCATTCGAATGATTATACTATATGCTGCTTTAGAAAGACATTTTTCCTAACTTCTTTTTTGAAATTATATTATAAAATAATGAAACTTAAAAGTTATTTTTATTTTTCGATGTTTTTTTTAGCAAATTTTCATGGCATATATAACCAATGGTAATGATGATTCATTACCTAAGCGAGTGAAATCTCAATGTCTACTCTTACGTGCTGATATTGATGAATTTGAAAAGAATAAGAAAACAATAGGAACAACAAATAATCGTTTTTCAAATGAAAATACACTCAAAATACTTGATTCTGTACGATCATCAATGATTACAACAACAAGAAAAGATTTAATAACAAATGAACATAATGTTCAATTAAAATTTTATCAAACGATTGTTAATGAACTTGAATTTCATAAATGTTCAATATCAATACAAAATCCTAATGCAATGCAACAAGACTAAATCTTAAAATGATTATTCTATTTCATAATTTGTCTTTTCTTGTCTTTTTTTTTTATCTATACATAAAAGGTTCAACATCATTTTAACTATATGTATCTGTATATTTTTCTTTATAGAGAGCGAGAGAGAAAAAAAAACTTGACCCATTTTTTTTTCTGGTATCTCAATATTTGCATTGCGTGTCAAAAATACTTTAAAACTATTATCTTCTTTTCTTTTTTTTTTTACTTAAGTAAAAGTCAACATTAATCATTAGTATGACAGATCATATACATATTAATTTTATTTTTGATCTTTAAAGATAAAGAACAAAGTTCATTGTTATTGTAGTCTTCACTAGTTGAACAACACGAGAAATAAAGAGAAAACATAGATAGACAAGAAGAAGAAAAAAAATAACGTTCTTCTCGATAAAATAACGTTATTTGCAGCCATTAAGATGGTTGTTTGCGAATGTGCGACACAAATAACATGTACTTCAATAGAACATACGCGGTAAGTGGAAAGAAACGACAAACCATAGCAGGAACGCACTAATACTACGACTGATTCAATCAAAACCATTAGCTCTTCCTTTCTTTTTTTTCTCCTTTTTTTGACATCATTCCCATTTCTTCGATAGTGTGGTGTCCTATTTGTGATCATTCTTAATTGCGCTTTTCTTATGCTCGTCTACAATGCTGGCATCTGCCATCAAATATATATATATATATAAATACATATTCAAGAAGAGGGCATAATCTACATAGTCATTGAACACTCAACATTCCGTTAAACAACATTTGTTGTCCTACAATAAATACTATTGTTTCAAATCATTGAATCGAACAACAACAAAAAAAAACGAAAACCAAAATGGCAAATGGATATTGTACAAATGAATTATGTGTCAAAAGAGAAACACAATTACGTTTAGCTCTACTTCGTGAAGAATTATTGACTAATTTCAATACACTTCTAATTGATCGTATTCGTTTTCTTGAACAAACAATTAATCGATTATCACTTATATCACCATCGACACCGGCAAGTTCATTACCAACATTAACAGATACATGTATGTCTCTAAAACCTATAGAAATCGATCGACTTACACCACCATCATTACTTCGACGTAGTTCATCAGCAGGAGCTTCATTTCTTCAAAGTCCTATTGACCCAAATTTAATGGAATCAGGAGCCGGTGCTCGTTCATGTCCATCGAGTGTAGATTTATCAAGTCAAAATGAATCACGAAAACGATTTTTATCAATCGAAAAACCTCCTCGTACACAAGATAGAACATCATTTGAATATAATACAACTAGTTTATCTATACCTATATATCGACATTGGGCAAGTTCAGCAGATGATCTTCAATCAAGTGCTATGGCTAATAGTGAAAAAGGTCGTTTAGAATCAAGACGTTTTGCATGTGATGTTGATGATAATGATGTACGAGCATTCAAAGCAATGATTTATATGGAACAAGCCCGGAAACAACATACACGACCATTAACTCGTTTACGACAAGCATTGGGTATATCAAGTAATAGTACTCTAGGGAGTTCGACATCAAACAGTTCAAAGAAACAAACAAATTTCTAAACTTTCGATCTGTATTTATTTTGTGGTCATTGTAAATTTATTTTTGATGTTTTTTTTTTTTTTTTCTACGAAGTAAATTATGTCATATTTATTGAAAAGATTTATGTATAAATATATAAAATAATTCAATCTATACTAATACTAATCTTGTTTATTATCTTAAATCTTGAGAAAATTGAATATTCTGTTCAGATAATTTGCTTAAGTATTTAATCTGAAGTATTAATTTCTTTTTTGTTTTTCAGTAAACTCTTAATAATGTAGTCTGATATAAAATATTGTTGTACAATTTATCACATACAATACTATCTTGTGTCGGTATGCAAAATGAAATATATGAAATTTGATATGATTTTTTTTTGCTCTATCAAGACAAAAAACTTATGAAGAAACTTGAACATGAATGGTATCTATTATTAATTAGCATAGCGATGAATAAAAGAAACAAAAAACAAATGAATCTATTATTTATGATTTTAATGGATGTTTTTTTTCTTCTGTATACATGAGTTTCTTATATTCAAATAAGAAATGAACGATCATTATTTATATTATTGAAGAAAGTGTAACACAATATTTAATAACCAGTTGATCAAATAGTTGTTTTGATCATGAATCTAATAAACAGTTGAATCAATTTCGCTATCTAAAGTTATTGAAAATTAATTGATTAGTATGCTGTCAAGTTTTAGATGATTCACACTTTGTTAGCAGATTTTCATTCAATTATCGACTTGATTTATAATTTCGAAATAATGAATTCTGTGAACAGAGCTGCCAACTCTAGAGTACTCGAATGGGGTGTATACCTCTGATGCTTATAATTATGTGAAAAATCAAGTGTACACTATCAGAAGTACAGTTACAAAAACATATTTTATTATTGAGACAAATAAGTTCATTATACTGCTATTTAGCTAGTAATTCTATTCAGAAAGCAATCAACAATCTCAAATCTTTTTATATGATCGTATAAATTTATAAAATTCTGTACATTGAGATTTTTATTTAATGAAATTTTCAATACAATCACAACTGTATCATTTATAATAGAATATAGACTTGGTGTCTGGGCATATATCATATGACTGAATACGTCTTCTGGAAATACATTTAATTAAGATATTAAATAAAAGTGTGTCTGAAAAATGAATGCTCGTACAAACTAAAGATTTTTTTAAACAATAATCGAGAACTAGATGTACTTTTTAGTGTGAGTTTGAATAGTCAGAAAAATAACACTAGTTTAAATAAGTCTAAATCGGGCACAGTTGACAGTTTTATCTATTCGATAATTTAGATATCAAAAAATTCTAAATTTAGTTGACCATTGAATAGGACACTTTCTTCTAGGAATAAGTTTCTGTAAACATTTGTTGTGAGACGGAAAACATTTTGCTTTTATTGTTCCCTACAATTTTCATCAAAATGATTTGGAGCAGAATGACAAGAATATGTCGACATTCATAATACTCAAATGATAATTACGTTTCCTCTTCAGTTCTCGGTTATAATATATAAAAGTATTTTGAATTTATTTGATTTAATCATTAACGTAAGATTTCATATAGATATCGTTGATGAAATGTACATCTACTAACAAGTGTAAGATGGAAATGTCTTTTAATTCTTTAGAAAATATATAAAAATATTAATTTCAAAGTATACTATGGATAATTTTGAAATGAACATGTTGAGATAGCACGATCGAATTTTCGACATTGTATAAGCAAAATCAAGTGCCATATTGATGATCAGAAACTAAAAAAAAAATTCGGATGTATCTTCGAAGCAGTGAACTCTTGTTTTTGATACTAGTGCAAGTGAAAGAGTCGTTGACTCGCAGGCTTTTTATCATGCTAGTCATCATAATAATATCTGTTATGATCTTCATAGATTTTGAACTCTCTCACACATCTAAATACCCTGCTGTCAATAGTTTTGAAACTTTCTTTCCGCTACGAATGAATTATTTGTCATACTAGAGTATAAGAAAATTCGATGTGTAATCTCTACATCTAAATAATGTACAAAAAGAAATGATTATTTCTTTAATAAGCGTATACTGATAAAAAGTAGAGCATTTTACGAATGAGACATTCAATAGGTCATTATGCTCATAGAATTGGAAACTAAATGTTTTTGAGAAAAGTAAAATTGAGTACGATAGTATCGACGTCACTAGAAACTCTAGCAACGAAGTAAGAGACACATCATGAAAAAGAATTAGAAAGTTTCAAGTAAATACATATAAATACAGTCCTTTTCAAAGTTTTTGGAGTATTTCAAGTTTCTATATTATAATTTAAAAATTTAATAGCTGCAAAGGGAGGTTGAGTAGACACTCAAGGACAATAGAAGTCTCTGAACACTAAAAAACCTATTTTTCTAATGACTAATTTGATCGAAAATCTATGAGGCGACATTTCTTTTTTACATATGTTCTTTTCATCAGTAAGAATTCTTGCTGAAAAAAGCACCTTTCCACTGGTTCCAATGCTTAAGGGTTAGTCGTCAAATGCAAGGTACGACAGATCTGAATACTTATCGACATGTAGAGAAGGAGTCTGTGGTTGAAGCAATTAGTAAAAATTGAAAATCTATCGTAGCTTCCTTGCTAAACATTATAGTTTTTCAATAGTACACACGGAAATTCTTTGCAGATCTATTTGAAAATATTTGGTTTCTACTTATAAATATGATTTCTGTTCTTGACTATACAATGTCGATGACATAATCTTGCTATCTCATTTCATTCTCTAGTTCTTTAATTGGTAATCACTGGTAGTATGTTATGAAACCGATTGTGTTACTTTTTCTATATTCCTATGAATTGCTTTTACTGTCTTAATACTTTTGGCTACATGCCTCTGACTTTGAGTGGATCTTTTAGCATTGATATATTGATTCTGTTCAATGAATCATAATAGCTTGTCAATGTATGCATCAATCGATGAATTAAAATGAAGCAATGAATATAAACAACTAACAACGATGTGTATGTGTCTATCTCATACGTAAAAGATTGATCGTTATTTGTTTCACTGAAAAATGCTTGACTTTGATTTCATCTATTCTTCAATAGAATGACAATTATTTCTAACTACTCATTTGGAGTGTCAACAATCATTAGACACTATTTGCCTAACGAAGTGCAGAGACGAGAATATTTAGCACAGTTAGAGAACAAGATCGACTGATTGTATGCAATCTTCTTGTTGAACAAGTAAATGACGCAAATTAATTATAAAATAATTCAAAATTACTATACATTATATATGAGACCTGTTTAAAAAGCCTATCAAGGCTTGCCAAGGTCTACAACTGTCCTACACTGTTAATAAAGGTGGAAATATTTCCTCACACCAACAGCCAAATAAATTCTTCTAACACTCATATCTGAGGTATTTCTTTTCCAACAAATCTTCTATATGGAAAAATTCATTGCAAAAACTATTTTCGATCAAATGTATCTTGACAAGAAGTATAACGGCGCGTGATTTTATTGAATCTTTTCATCGATCCGTATATTGATTTTAAGAGTCAAAAACAAAAAAAAAGAAGATTTGATAGTGGCTACATCGTATGTTCAGTAATGATTTTAGTTTCTTTCTTGAGATGACCAGCAAGAGCTGCCTGTTTTTCGACACCTCGACCCAAATCGACAACAATCTGCTGAAAAAGATAAGTCCATGCTTGCTTATGACGATCTGTAAAATTTTTGCCAAGTACTGAATTTAATACATGCTCCATAGAAGATTTTGCTGCCTATTCAAAATAAAATCTTCGAAATTTTTGTTTGTATTTATGAAGAATTTCTACCTGAAAATAAGAAGGTTGTACATCATACATAAAATGAATTTGACCAAGACTTTCGAGAATATGACGTCGTTTGTCATAGTCATCGATATTGTTAATAATTTCATTAAGAGTGTACATGATTTTTGCAGCATGATAACGTACTTGTGCATTATTTCGAATTTCTTCTTCCTTTTCAAGATTAGCGGCAAAAATCCAAAGTTTTCTTAGTTGAGGATAATCTTGAAAGATTCTAGAAATAAATAATCTCTATTGGATTTAGTTAACTAAAAAACATAGTTGACTATACCGAACCATAAAACTAATGCCAACTTCTTCATAACATTTATTACATACATCGGTCCAATTATCTCGAACAAGCAAATGGCTTTGTTCCGCTGTTAACAAATTCGGTGCATTTGCTACTCGTGATAAGTTACAGCCCATGTTTATTTAAGTTATATGCAAAAGAGCTCCCATATTGTGCTCATTTATATAGCATCAAATGTGATGAAGTGAAAGCTTGACTTATTCTTAACATACTATTATTCGAGTTATACGCTATGAGATCACATAGTAAAAACACCCAGAAAAGTAGATAATCAACGTGTTCTGTTTCCAAATCTGACATAGCAAACAATAAGGCTTGATTAGTTAGCTTCATATTGTATAGTTAGGAGATGGATAGACGTTGCTTACGAAAGACGTCACTATGCTCCATTTTTTTGTTCAATAGAGTTAATGACAGTAGAGAGTAATTACTAATCGACTTTTCAGGAAAAAAAAGACACTCAAATAGGAAAAGCAGTGCTTTGAGGATGAAAATGACTTGAGTTTCTGTTTTTTATAATATAAATTCAAGATTAATGTAGTAATGTGATTCGCACTGTACTATTCTTTTAGATCTAGTTTTTTGTTCTCTTTCACATCTTTCAGCGATGTTGTTGTATTTTATGAATATCACCAATGTTAAAAATAGACACTATGCTACAGTATTCTTCCATAGAAAGTTTTCATCGACGCATTGTCTTCAATAAATATTAATTAAAAAATTTTCTATGCTTTTCATAAAAATTGGTATTCTGTTTTGAGATACATATGACTTTTCAGATCTAATTCAGTTCGTGTGATCTTTTCAAATGCTGCATCCAAAGGAAAAGTAAACTCATAAGTGATTTCATCCTATTCCAAAGATACATTGATTTCAAATGACGTCTATTTTTGGTACTCGCAAGATTAACATATTGATTGATTGTATGTCTTCCAAGGTCTTGCGGAGGAATCAGATAATTGATAAATATATCGAGCTAATGGTGTGGATATATAGCCTCAATCTTCTCTTCACGCACACCTACAGATGCATTCTGACAGTTAGGATCGTTTCTTCGTCATTCATAATGCCTTGTCTACTACAGACGTTGCTGATATACGATTAAAGACTGTGTATCAATGCTATTGATTATAATTTATGCGAGCATTGCAGTAACAATTCTTTACATAAAAAATGAATTTAAATTTTTTTTTTAAATCTTCAAATGGCGCAATATGCTCAACATCCGCAGTATTATTGATTAGCTCAACCATCACTTTATGTATTAGCATATAAATCATCATCACTCAAATGACACTAACGAGATAACCAGAAAAAAATAGACTGGTTGGGCTCAGCGCTAACGGTTTTTAGGAAGTTTGCATAAAGAGATGCAATTTTTCGTTTTGATGGAGAAAGAATATAACAATGTATTTATCCCTACAAACAGGCTTTTAAAATGGTGTTTTCATTTGATTAGGGAGAACAAAATAAAAGAAATTAGAATATTTACTTTAGTACAATACTAGTGTTTCAGTGTAAGTTGGTGAAGACACACATGAGTTTTTCGAAATCGGTATTAAAATCATGCTCCACTGCTAAAACATACAAACGATTCAATCTAATATCCGTTATTGTACTGTATGTCGATACTTTAATCAATTTAATTCTTATGGAACGTTCTTTCACATACAGTAGATGAAATCAGCATAATCGTAGTTGCAACAACAAGGAATACTGAGTATTCTTTTAGCAGCAACTTTATCTTGTTTAACCCTTTGAGGATCGATGGGTTATTTTTAAACCATCTACTTTTCAGTAAAGAAAAAAGTGTTTAATTCACATTAAACTATTAAATATGTGAGGTCATTAAGGTCATAAACAACTGCATTTGTCATCTCATACTTTTTTTTCTTTCTTTCCTTCTGTCATATAAATTCTTTTCAAATATCCGTTGTTCTTGCTGCTAAGATATAGTGACGTCCTAATTTATCCCTCCTTCTCTAATCTTTTTTCCGAGAATATTTTCATTCTCTATTGAATATATATATATATTCCCGTTTTCACTGACGAATTTACGTTGTTCTTGAATTTGTAAAGCATATCAATTCTCTTTCGAACTTGTACGCTCTATTTCTTTATACTGTTTGTTCAATTAAAACTAAAGAAATGGAATTCTATGAAAATGATGAAGTTGACGAGGAGTCCTGTGATTCATATGCCAGTGATGATACCAGCGAGAGTGATTTCGATTTCGATTATGATGAACTAGTCGATGATTTAGATGAGCTTGAACTTTCTGATGAAGATTTGGATGTATAGACAGAGGAGCTAGATTCAACCAATGAAAGTCATATCACGGATGGCGGCTTTACTTCAATCTCTCTCAAAGAGTGAACTCCAGTTTCAGTCTTTAGGACCTTTTCTACTGAAGAAGTTTTAAACCTGATCACTGATCAAACAAACATTTATGGAAAAGGAAAGAAACGAAATAACAATCAGAAGAAAATGAGTAACTGGAAGGATGTGAGCAACAAAGAGATTGAATTGTTTCTCGGATTGATTATTCTAATGGGTATCAATAACTTGCCAAATATGAAACTTTATTGGAGTAAAGATATGATATTCCATAATACATTTATTTCTTCTATCATGTCAAGAAATCGTTTTCTTCAAATTTTTTATAATATACATTTGGCTGATAGCTCATTGCAACCAAAACGAGAATCCAAAGAGTACAGTAAAATTTACAAAGTTAAGAATTTTACTGAAATTTTACGGAGAAATTTCCAAAAAAAATTATAACCTTGGACGCTACGGTACAATCGACGAAAGCATGATAAAATTCAAGGAAAAATCAAGCCTCAAGCAATGTTTGCCACTGAAACCAATAAAAAGAGGTTATAAAGTTTGGTGCTTATGTGATCCAACCACTGGTTATTTATTCAACTATCAAATCTATTTAGGAAAAGAAGAAACCAGTGGAAAAGAAACACCTTTGGGCGAACGTGTTGTTTTCGATCTGATATCTGGCCATAACTTCCAAGGAAAACATCTATATTTTGATAATTTGTTCACTTCTCTCAGATTATTAGAAAAGCTAAAGCTACAAAACATAAAAGCCTGTGGAACTATCAGACCAGATCGGGCAGGTATTCCATTGGATTTTGCCAAGAAAAATAAAATGGAGCGAGGAGATTAGAAGTCAATGATTGCATCGAACAGCATCGTTTTCATATGGATGGACACTAAACACATTTTCCTGGCTTCAAATTATCATAAAGACAATGAAGTTGTTCCAATTTCCCGTCGTTTGAAAAATGGCCAACGTATTACAATTGCCTGTCCAAAAGCAGTAAAAGATTATAATCAGTTTTCACATGGAGTTGATCGGTTTAGCCAAAGAATATCGTGCTACAATCTCGATCACAAGTCTCAAAGGAACTGGCTGTGAATGTTTATTTATTTTCTAAATGCATCTATTTTCAACTCATTCGTTTGTTATAATCAGTTAGCTCAAGATAAATTAACATACTTGAACTACCCAGGTCGAATTCACCCTGTCGAATCCGATAGAAATTCGCCGGAATTTGTCGGAATCCTAACCACAGGATTCCGACAAGTGGTTCTGGATGTCGGAAAGTGTCGGAGTTTCAGGGATTTCGCAGGATCCTGATTATTCCGACATCCGGAACCTCCTGTCGGAATCCTGTGGCTAGGACGCCGACAACTTCCGACGAGTTCCCGTCGGATCCGTTAAAATCCGGTAATTTTTCCGATATAATCCGACGTAATCCGACAGTCGGATCGAATCACCTGGGTACATGGTTTCATTGGCGGAGTCTCTCTGTTCCGGCAGTGAACGAATAAGTCGTGGAAGATCTCATTCTGAAAAGAAGTCTAAACTAGCATCATCAAAAACTGTCCATAATTTTAACAATGAAATGAATTTGCCTGTGACAGCAAAAAGAAGAAGATGTGCCTATTGTAGCACCAATGAAGCAATAGATTATCGATCCAACATCGAGTGCTTTACTGGCAAATTGCCATTTTGTTTAAAAGGTGGAAAAAATTGTTTTTTCGATTATCATAAGATTTTTATGTAGCCGTTTTGAGTTAAAATAAAATAAAAAGGTTAAAAAACATTTTTTTCGATTAAAAAAAATTCGGTCCTCAAAGGGTTAATCATCATGTGTTTTTTTTCACTACCATCAAACAAATCATTACGATCATCATCTATGCCATAGATGCATTCAAGTAAAGACATTCTTTTCAATAAAAAACAAAAAACGATTATTTTATTCTTCACACGATTAACAAGTCTTGAAACACGGTATTCATCACTTTCACCACAAGTTACTCTTAAATGATGCTTCTGACCTCGCTGCCGGTTATCGTTCATTACAAACTCAACCAGCATTTTCTGCTTATCTCAATTATATGACATCACCATCATCATCCGTTTCATATACCAATCAAATGCTACATGTACGCGGATCAGTACCAACGTTAAATAAGTAACAAGAAAGCTTTCAAAAAAAGAAAAAGAGAATTTTTTCTCAACAAATATTTAGATTATTTGAATTCATAATCACTTTTACTTCAATCAATTATCGATTCAAATCAGCCACAAGCACAAGTTTATTCTCATCATCAAATGCTAAGATCATCGACAAATGAATCAATTATGAATGGATATTCAATGTAACCTTAGTCGTAATTATGATATATCCCTGTAAAATTAAGCTTTGATTGTTTTCTGCTTGATGTTGTATATTTCTTTCTTTTGTTTTGTTTTTAATTTACTTTTTTTGATATTCATTAAATATTTGAACATATATATTGAACAGAATTATTTCAGGTTTTTGTTTATTTATACAATTCATATAGTTATAAAAAGGGAATGACTACTTATTAATTAGAAGAAACAATATCTATGGATGATCGTGATTCAAATCAACATGAAATTAGACAACGATTATTGCTTGGATCACAAGTTTCTTCATGGGACTTGCTCAGTGTGAAAATGGTAAGCTTTTTTTTTATTACCCTTTATGATCAAATACTAATACTGAAAATGCTAATATTTTTACAGTAAATTATTGCCCTTTGATCTCAAATTCGAGTTATGTTGAAAAACTAACTTTACAAAAGAGCATCACATTTCACTTTATAAATTTTAGTTTACAGAAAACTCTGACTTGAAGCAGCATTTTGAACAACTAAGTAATATAGTTTTTAGATAATTTCTGAGGCTAAAAAATCTACGTTCAAAATTTTGTCTTTGAGAATGCCTCAATTTTTCAAAAAATATCGATTTCCTTTTTGCTAATGCAATAATATATAAACGATGCAATGCTTTTATAACCGAATGAGACATCTAAACCATACAAATTCTCCTTTCGAATCTCTTGATTGTGGTAAGACAAACATTCTTGTCTTGAAACGTGGCAGGATGTCCAGAACATCGGATTTTGGAGTCAAATGTCGCTGAAAATTTTACTATCGATGCATTTCGTGCTATGAAATTTTTTGATTTTTTTCTCATATGGTTAGAGAGATATTCGCTAATTAGCGTTTAATTAAAAGAACTTTTATGAAGAACAACTCTTGTAAAGAATCAAACTCAAATGAAACTAGAGTATGGATTCACCGACATTTCTGCACAAAATGAAGTTTTTTGTTCATGTATTAACCTGATACAACTACTAAAATTTCAGTAACTGTTCTGTTGGTGTGAGTGCAAGGTTCCGATGTGATGTTTAACTAGAATGAAGGAAATGAGAACTCTACTGTTCACAAACACATCCCAACACGTCAAACCACTTTAGAACCAACAACTGAATTTTAGATTCACATCAGAACCTCTAACCACACCCGTTTCAAATCTTTTGTCAAAATATATGTAATGTATGCAGCTTCTGATGCTCCAGCCAATGGTATAGTTTAAATGAGATGAAAACTTATTTTTTTCGAACTACATGAAAAATTTGAGACTTAATTTTTCTACCATTTAATTTCTCAAAGTGTAGGAAAGTTAAATTAGTTTTCGTAAATCAATTTTTCTAGTAGACAGCTGAATATCTACTCTTTTGAATGGATACTGAAAAGTATTGAGTTGGCAAAATTAGACTTAATTCACTATTTTTACATGTACGCAAGGGAGTCTTATAATTATAGAACAGTTGACATTATAATTTTTTTTGAATTTATTCATTAATACTAAGTGATCAAATTCAAATCAATATGGCACGTGATAGACTGCTACTATAAGTGTATGGATTTGATATTAGATCGGAATTGAAACATTTTTGAGTTGAAGAAATCTTAATAGTTCTCAAAATTCTAGGGAAAGCGAGTATCTTATAATTTTGAGACTCCCTGTATATTGATGAAGCTGGTATTCAATTATATTTTATTTCGATAAAGAAAATAGAAAGTTATGAAATGGTAGTTTGGTATCATTGAAATTTACGCAAGTGATGTCTTAGTACTGAAATATTAAAGTCATGGTTTGAGACGACGCACTACATGTATATCCATCGATAGCGCCCCAATTCCAATTGCCAATACAAGGTCGAATTGTATAACCAGTGTTGCAGGCGCATATTGAACCTGTTGAAGTAACTTCATAGCCACTACCGCATACTCCTACTGCCCATGAATACAGGTCCAATGAAACAGGACCGTATGTAGTATTTGTTCGAAGAGCTTGAGCGATGGCTGCCACAACAGTAGCATTTGTAAGTGTTATGCCCACTGCATTATTTGTGCCTTTCATTGTCATCAATGTATAAGGTTGTGCGATCAATTGAGCTCGAAACACTTCCCATGCCGTACATTGGTCCGAAGGGGTACCACTCACAGTGAAATTTTGAGAATATGTAATTGTATTTACTGAAATGAAATCGAGCGCAACATATATATAACATGTGGGGGATCAGTAGTTGAGCATGAGAATGTTCAGCACATGAAAATTAAACTGAAAAAATGATCAGGACGAAGACTGTTGAAGATAGAAACGGTTCGCTACTAGAAACAAAAAGCGTAAACTGAGGCTATTAAATAAGCAAAATTCATATATGTACACCTAATCAAGGACCAATATTGACTTCTAAAAGATGTTAGTGAAATATGTTTACTAGTGAGACTGGGACTATGTTTTTTCTATAAAATATGTACCCGTATACGTAGAGTATTATACTGAATCTGAGTTTGATTGAAAACATAGTTGGTAGGGCTCTATTGATCCGATAATATCATATTACCTCGCTGTCCGAGCCAAAAAATAGTATATGCCAAAATTCAAATTAATAAATATTTGACGCAAACTTTTTATCACAGATAGGAAGGCATCAAACTCTATTAGGGATAAAATTTTCAGCCTCTAAAATCATTGCTCAAAGCCATTGTTCATGACCCAACTACGGATGCATAGGCTGTAAAGTTATAGTTTTCCACATCAACCGGATACAAAAATTCTCAGCTTTTCCTTTGAATGGTACACTAAAGTGATGCAACTTACTAAGTACGTATGAAATTAAAACGTCTACGAACGACGGAGAACGAGTCACTTTAAAAAGTTAGTCCTAACAGAACATTTACACTACTAGCAGGTTGATGATTCAGTCTGTTGAGCTATGAAGATGAAACTTCAAGTAACGAATGAAGGCGATGTTCTCCGTAATACATCCGAAAATCAGCAAAACCCATGATCACTAATTATCAAGTGATGGTTGCCAGTGTCGGATTTTCTTAAAATTCACTTTTAAAAACTTCAAAGTAAGAAAAGTTTTCGCGCAGGCTAATGAGAATATGTCAGTTTACAAGTTAAACTTTTGATAAATGCTGTTAAGTTAATGTAGCAGCTGAAGCTTAAAAATCCAATATTTTGTAAGTTTAGGCATGTTTGTTGAAATATGCATTTTAAAGCTCAAGTTCTGAACTACAAAAGTTGCAATAATTTGGGTCGAGAGTTCATCGACTGATTTTCATATGCAGATGACTGACACTGAAGCCTATTTATTGCCGATGTGATAGAATTAATGGAGGCTATGCAAAAATGAAAATCAGATAGCATTGCTTTTATCTTACTACGTTGTGCTGACACTGTTGTTGTTATTCTTGGTATTGTGGTTGTCGTTGTTGTTGTTGTTCTTGATGTTGTTGTTGACGCTATAATAATTGTTAAAATTTTGCTTTATGAATTCGAAATTTTTTTTGTCAAATAATTTTATACTTTTAATTTACTGGTCACAATTATTTTTATCCTTGTTTAGTTGTTATGTCCTGAACGAAGTGTAAGTCTGATTAAAGAAGAGACTGAATTTTTTATAGTTCAGTTATATATTGACAAAACGGCATTATATACGCCTCTATGTATTTTTACCAACTTTTTACAAAGTACACAAATTCTAGCAAGATATTGATTTCCAGCAGTTGGGCATCTAAAATGCTAGACTATGAGTTCATTTTTAGATGACTTCGCATTAGAGATAAGCAGAGGATACTTCAGTAATGATCTATTCTGCGTAATAGAATTTCTACATTTTGTTACTAGCTTCTCTGTTTTCTCAAATAACATGATGAGTGAGTCATATTCATCATTTTATCATGAAATATTCCCTTTTTATTCAACTCAGAGAAAAAGAAAATATTCCATATACACAAACGCAGGTATAAAAGGCAGCTTAGTAAAAATTATTGAAAATGTTTAATCATTTTATCACTTACTCAACAATCTCGTCGTCATTGGGTTCGTACTTCCTCTGGGTGGACATCTTTGAGTTTGAGCACGTGCAAGTGGAAAGCACACAGGTCGATTGCATCGAGTATTATTAACACAGACCGTATTGATTTCCGAACATGTCAAGTTATCACTCTGACACGGTGCTAGATTCGAACAAGAGATAACTGTGTCGGCACACATACCATCACCAGTGACTGTCATCCATAGACATTCACAGTCAACATTTGATGAACAAGATTCTGCTCGAGTGGGACACCATGGCGCTGGACAGCATCCACAACTTGAAGAGGTTGTATCTTCAACATCATAGCCTGAACAATGATATAGAAACGGTATTTAAAATAAGCATTAATTTGATTTTTCCATTTTAATTCCTCTTAGATTCTTCTCATTCTAGAATCATTTGTGAGAGGATGTGGATGTAGATGTGGGTGTGGGTGCGTGTAGAAAGAACACAATATGCACACCCTACCCACACCACACATACTCACCTACAACACCTCAATACTCTCTCAGATACATACACTCGAACTAACATACTGGAGCTCATCGATAGCAAAATTTTTGAATCCCAACCTGGACTTCTACACTACTTATTGAAGGCTTTTTGAAACTGAATCCGACTTCAATCCGACTTATGAAACATTTTCGAGTTCTACACAGAGCGCATCCGATCCGTACTCAAAATATTCTCACTAAAATGTTATAACCCATCTTGACAATCATTCCAAAGATACGAAATGTCTTTTTCGCTTAGTTCGATCTAGCAGCTAGCATGACCGACAGAGTGTGAGTGAGTATGAATGTGGGTCTCTTTTTAATTATCGCCCACACCCACATCCTCAAGTGTTTTTATTTTGCCAAGAAAATTGTTATTTTAATTACTTTGCACATTTCAAAGTCAGTTGTATTCTCATGTTGACTGTGACATATTCAAAGATCCACGGTCAAAGATAGATGATCAAAGATCAAAAGTTAAGGATTGTAGGTGAAAAGTTATAGAAAAAATACAAGCGTGCAATGAACATGCGAATGTTCTAGTGTTTTTTTTATCTTAATCAATCTATTCCAACTTTGATTGTTACCACGACATATCCTTATTCTTACTAGTGGTATGTTTAAACTTGCAAAATATCATTCATTTGAAAATTGAAATTGCATAAATGCAACTTTCAAAGTGAATAATAAATCGAATTTGCATGCTCACATACAGATGATAGGGCTTCAACATCCACTAGAATATTTTCTTGAACGGCTGACTTATGTGACAAACTTTGCGTTGATAAGCTGATAAATGCTCTTTTTGACTTAATTCACATGATCAATTGTTGGTGTAGGATGAATTTCCTCAAATTTATATTCAATAAATAAAACCTACTTACTTGATACGATGCAAGTGCAGAAGCTAATAATCCCAAAGAAAGTTAAAATTATCAAGATACAGAAATACACAGACACTCACATTATAATTGTGGCGAAGAAATATTGATGTATCACGTTGATATTTTGAAATGAATTTACGTTACTGGAATAGGACTGAAATATGATTTTCATTCGATTCTTTTACTCTCTTAGAGAAGTCAGAGAGAGTCCTTATTTATTTTTTTCGTTGAATAAATCCTGTCTTCTTGATTTCTTCTTCAAACAAACACCGGGAATCATAAAAGAATCAAGATGGATGATTTTATAAGTGTTTGTATATGTAGTAGCTTTGTTGACTCTAATGAAAGAGAAGCAGAGAAACAAGCCTCGAGTTGAAATATTGTTGAAAAACAACAAAATCTTGTGACTGGTTCATGCCTAGCAATCATCTCCGGATTTGTTTTTTTCGAGAGACCATGACTCATTTGACAGTGAATTCAGATTTCCAGTTCTAGTGAAACGTATCATAAGTATTGGACGAATTTACTTTACATTGTTCTTTCTCTCTTCTAAAAGAGTATCCTCGAGCATCACTGCAATATGTACTTCATTCATCAAAATTTGTCTTCGAGTCTACAATATTTACTCAACAGAATAATCTCTGAAGCTATCACAGTTTATTGCCTAGATCCTAATACTGCTTCGTCGAAAAGGTAGCTCTGATCGGTTTCAGAGTAATGATACAATTACATAAAAAATAGTGTTAGAAAAATAAGTCTGCTTGTCCAATATTTTTCTTCCAAATTTCGCAGTATAGTTTCAAAAACGAAACAATATGAGCTATGTATCTCTGCTCTCGCTGCCCAATTATGAAAAATATGGGCCCAGTCTATCAGTTCATAACAGTAGGTGTAGGTTTGGACGTGTGTGAGTGCATGCGTCTATGTGGATCTTTGCACCAATATTTAAACCTACATCCATGCAAACATTCACAACTCGCATCCAAAAGAGTTCTTGATGCAAATGAGTTACCAAATAATTCAAAACTTCGATATTTTACAATTAGAAGAGGTTTATTTGAAAAATCTACCAGGGTCGACAAGAGCGTAATCATATTAACAACCGTGCAGGTGTACCTCACTGCAACCTCCACCTATGCCCACATCCTTCTGTTAATAGTCACAAAAAGATCTATCAGTGTCGATATAGCTTTTTGTGTTATGTTTCGAGTCTTCTCTCCAGTAATACATACAGCCACATCTCAGCATCCACACTAGCTCCAACACTTCACGTCCAAAATAAGAGTCACACCTAACCTCATACCCAACGTCCCATACCTACACTAACACTCATATCCGAAGCATTTATTTGCCGATCAATTTTCCACGTGTAGAAATTCATTGCAAAAACTATTTTTGATCAAATGTATCTTGGTAAAAAATTACCAAAGCGCGTGATTTTATTGAATCTTTTCATCGATCCGTATATTGATTTTAAGAGTCAAAAACAAAAAAAAAGAAGATTTGATAGTGGCTACATCGTATGTTCAGTAATGATTTTAGTTTCTTTCTTGAGATGACCAGCAAGAACTGCTTGTTGTTCGACACCTCGACCCAAATCGACAACAATCTGCTGAAAAAGATAAGTCCATGCTTGCTTATGACGAAGTGTAAAATTTTTGCCAAGTACTGAATTTAATACATGCTCCATAGAAGATTTTGCTGCCTATTCAAAATAAAATCTTTGAAATTTTTGTCTGTATTTATGCAGAACTTCTACCTGAAAATAAGCAGGTTGTACATCATACATAAAATGAATTTGACCAAGACTTTCGAGAATATGACGTCGTTTGTCATAGTTATCGATATTGTTAATAATTTCATTAAGAGTGTACATGATTTTTGCAGCATGATAACGTACTTGTGCATTATTTCGAATTTCTTCTTCCTTTTCAAGATTAGCGGCAAAAATCCAAAGTTTTCTTAGTTGAGGATAATCTTGAAAGATTCTAGAAATAAATAATGTCTATTGGATTTAGTTAACTAAAAACATAGTTGACTATACCGAACCATAAAACTAATGCCAACTTCTTCATAACATTTATTACATACATCAGTCCAATTATCTCGAACAAGCAAATGGCTTTGTTCAGCTGTTAATAAAGACGGTGCATTTGCTACTCGTGATAAGTTACAGCCCATGTTTATTTAAGTTATATGCAAAAGAGCTCCTGTATTGTGCTCATTTATATAGCATCAAATGGGATGAAGTGAAAGCTTGACTTATTCTTAACATACTATTATTCGAGTTATATGCTATGAGAACACATTGTTAAAAAATCCAGAAAAGTAGATAATCAACGTGTTCTGTTTCCAAATCTGACATAGCAAACAATAAGGCTTGATTAGTTAGCTTCATATTGCATAGTTAGGAGGTAGATAGATATTGCTTACAAAAGACGTCCCTAAGCTTCATTTTTTTGTTCAATAGAGTTAATGACAGTAGAGAGTAATTACTAATCGATCTTCCAGGAAAAAAAAGACACTCAAATAGGAAAAGCAGTGTTTTGCGGATGAAAATGTGCTTGAGTTTCTGTTTTTTATAATATAGGTTAAAAACTAATGCAATAATGTGATTCGCATTGTACTATTCTTTTTATCGAGTTACTAGTTCTCTTTCACACCTTTCAATGATGTTATTATATTTTACGAATAGCGCAAATGCTAAAAATAGACACTATGCTATAGTATTCTTCCATAGAAAGTCTTCACCGACACAATGTCATTAACAAGTGTTAATTAAAAATGTTTTTATGACTTTCAGATACACATGCATTTTTTTGACCTATTTCAGGCAGTGTATTCTTTCTAAATGTTACATTCAAACAAAAAGTAAACTCAAAAGTAATTCCGTTTCATCTCATGAATCATTGATTCGAAATGGCATCCGTCTTTAGTGCCCACAATGGTGGACTCTTGATTGATTAAAATTTTTCCAAGATCTTGCAAAGAAATCAGGCAAACGATAAATATATCGAGTTGGTTTCAAAATGTAATTGCCATATTTTCCAACAACATTGGAACACTTACATTTGTTTTCTATTTGTAAGTATTTTGATTTTCAATTTCGATAATGCTCTTCGATTCGCAATGTTGTTTTGCGTCTTTTCTAACACGTAAATTAATGTTGAAAAGAATCTGTTAGACACTGATAAGAAAAATTAAGTTTCAAAGAAAAAGAATCGATGAAACATTCAGATACTTTTTAGAATATTTTAGACAGAGTTTAAGTGTAAAGTATGGGTGAAGAGATTGTCAAAACCCACATCCACAACTTGTTCAAGAGTTATAAATAGTATCATAAAAAAAATTGTAGTTTGTTGTCACATATATGCTCCTTTCTAGAGTACGACTTGACAAACATGCAAAATACATAAAAAAATCTGATGTAGTCGTCGACATGCTTCAGTGTTTCACAAAGCTGAGACTTTACGCTATGCTACCACACATGTATCTCTAAACTAAAAATTTCGTCAATAATTATCTATATATGTTGAATGAAAACGAAAGGCGCTTAAACTTCTTATTCAATCTAAGAGCTTATGACTTTGTAATATCAATTTAAACCTTTTTTTATTACTACGTAGTTTATTTATTTTATAAAATAAAATAGTCATTTTCAGTTAAATATAGTAGTTATGACTCATATGAAGTATATAACCGAACTTCTACTATCGCAACTGATTGAAATGAATTATTTGATGCAATCAACTAATCAAACAAATTGTTTCGATCACATTTTAATTATATTATTCAATTCGCTTGAATACCCGAGAATAGTTGACAATTAATATTAGTTTTAAGAGACATTACTGATGTAGCCGATATTATTATGTTTTTTCTTAAAATTTGACGAATCTCAGTAAACCTTATAGAAGTAATGTCTTTTTAAGAAACCATTGAAGCTCTGCAATATGTGTTTTTTTTATATTCTACTCTGATATAAAAAATTGAGACTCTTCATCACAATCTCTTTTGTATATTTCAGAACGCTAGTTCACCTAATGAGTTTGCATAAATAATATAACATAAAAATATAACAAGCTGTAAAAGTGAAGAGGATAAATCTTGTCTTATGAATTGTAATCTTATCTTTCTAATAACGGATGATGAATAATTAGGTATTAATAGATTATGTACGCGTCATATATTAGTAATTGTTCAAATGAACAATATTTAAGATGTAGAATTTATTATAAATAATGAAACTTGTAGTATCAATGAAGGTGTAGCATTATATAAAAAATACTGATAAAATCATCATTTCCATTAAATGGAATAGTAATTAAATTATTTTGTATGTTTTTTTTTCTACATTGTATTTAATGAAAATATTTAGTAGCACATATCCGGACTATGACTAAAGAGACTGATGTATCACAAGTGGTTGTTGTAACAATTTCACATATCGGTTAAATTGCATATTCCTATATAATTTTAACTGAATTGATTTATTTTCAACAAGAATATAAATCCTCTTGGTTCGCCTGAATATCAAAATGTTATATATTTGAATCGTACTATGGATGAAGAATGTATGTTATACAATTCTTCTCATACACATAGTATTAACAAGTTTCTCTTAGAATACATAAAAATGTCTCTACAATATGAATTTTTTTTACTGTGTGCATTTGCTACTGAAGAAATTGTTAGCTCTAAAAAAAAAATTTAGAATTTTCTTTTCTTTTTTTTGATTGAAATGAAATAAAATTTTCAGATCAGACATTATCAATGACTATAGATCTCTCCAGTAATGTTGAGGATAATGCATAATTAAATCCAACAAATTACATTGATAGATAAACGACTACGAGAAGGACAGATAAAATATTTTTATTTTTATTCCTTAGTTTTACTGGCAAATGAATCATATTGAATTGAAGAAAATATCATTGTTATACAATAAAACTTGTTTGTTAATGAATCACATAAGGGAAATAAAACAAACAAAACAACCGTCAGTTAATAGTTATGACTCAAAGTGTTTAAATGAAGAAAGCAAAAGCATTGACTGATTTAATGATTCATGTTCAAAAACGATCCTTTTTTTTCGACTAAATAAAGAAAAACCAACACATTGGAGAAAGTATATATTTGAAATCATTCTGACGAATATCGTCACATATCGTGTATGCTAACTGTTTTATAACACAATACTTTTGAGAAAACTATTAAGAATTTCAGATTATGTCTAAAAGTAATATTTAATCTTGAGGATGGGTGTGGGGTGTGGGAGTGAATGTGGGGATGGGTGGGTGTGGGGTATGGAGGTGGATGTGGATGTGGGGATGGGCGGATGAGGGCGTGGGTGGACGCATAGAAGAGTCACACCCACACCCCACACCCAAACAGTCATAAATAGAAAGAAATTACACAACATACATTCTTCGACAATCAAAGGTAATATATAAATATATATATAAATAAATGTTTATTAAGAGAGTTAGTATTATGATGCATTATGACAGTGCAATAATTCAAATGTTTTATCTGATTCATTAGAATTCTTGAAATGAACAATGAACTTGTTTAATTTTCATCAAGTCAATTTAATAATGTCCTTTTTGATATTTTACTAGAAGAAAATCACTTCAGTTTTTCACATATTATTCTTCGATCGTCTTTCTATCTGAGTTAGTTTTCGACGATTAGATTCTAAAGATGTATATTAATAATAATTATCTGAAGAGAAAAAATTTTCTTTCTAAAAAAGTTGAAAAATATATTTATGATGGTATATTCAAAAATGAGAAAATAATCATTTTCAAAGTATAAAAAATATGGATTAGCAACTACATGAAGATGTCAAAGAAAGAAATGCTCCATTCACAAGTTATGAGTGGTTGAAATAATAATTGGATAATATCTTCAAAATTCTCACCCAGTATATCATATTGGAACTGATGATTAAAGGTTTAAACGTTGCAGATTTCAGCAAAAGAGGTTTTTTTTTATTAACAATCAATTTCTTCTGATACTTATGAGAAAAAGTTTGCTCATCATCAAAACTTGATTAAATCAAATCAAAGTGTTCGTCAGACTTTCGATTGGAAGTTAAACGAATAACTCCGAATATGCATTAATTGACAGAGATTTCCATAGAACGATGTTGATCATTGTTTAAAGTATATTCAGAACATTTGTAACTTTATCTTTAAGAAAACCTTTGTTTGTTTATTAGTTGACCAAGAGAGATGAAAATAGTATCAAAGAAGTAATACTCAACATTATTTTCCATAACACCATCTGAAATGTGAAGAAACGAAACTGTTTGAGAGAATTTTATATGTATGGTATTTAAACTTCTTTGTGATCAACAATTTCTGCAAGTTTACAAAGTACTTCTCAGTTGTCACAATTCAACGTTCATTTGTTCAATTCAACTAGAAATGAAAAGAAGTAATTTAGTAACGAAAGAATCTTGTAGTTGACTATAGTTTGAAGCTAAAACAATGAATATTAGCATAGTTATAAACGAATAATGTACGAATTAAACTGCATTTATTTGCTAAATAGAAATATAATACTCGCATTTGAAAAAAGAGAACTTTTCAAAGTTTAATTCGTATTTTGATTAATTAATGATCGAATTATTCTACAATTATTTGTCAGTAAGAGATCAATTATACAAAATTGTTAACAAACATTAGCTACTGTTTTAAATTACGTAATTAATTGATTATCTATTTTCTATCCATTTCCCAATCTAGTCAGGTTGCTTGCAAATTAAAGAACTGGATAACGCGATGAGTTGGCGAGTTCGAGTTTTCGCTCTTGTACAGTTAAGAAATGAGAGACACATTAATAAGCAAAAGGCAATAGTTTTCGAATGGATCTTAGAGTATTTTTTTTATCTGGACTTCTGGAAAATCGCCATGACACTCATTGAAGCCATGAGGACTTTTCAATTTCGACTAGTAGATTTGCACTGTATATTGTTATACTATCTTTGAGAACGGAACTCTTACTTTATAATCTATCATATACGGAAAAATTCGACTCATGATTTTTCAATTATGGTGATAATCAACAAAATACTTCTTTTGATTTTCGAAAAACTTTCCTTTCTCTTAGATTCCTGAGTCGGCTGTTGTCAGAAGTTCTGAACTTTCTTTTTTTTCTTACAATGAATTGTACTTCTTGTCTGATTCTCAGAAAATTGGAAGTTTGGTCTCTATATTTAACTCACTAACGTTAAATTAAATTATCGGTTCATCGAGACAAAGAGAAATGAAGATTTCTCTAATAAGCCAACACGTATGCAAAGATGAGCGTTTCTCGCATTCAGCATTGAATTGCTCGCGTTATCGACTGTCTTTCTCAGTCATTTGATCTTTTGTCTTCTTGCCAACTAAAGATTTTCGAAACTTCATCATTCAATATCAAGAGATACGTGTCAAATGAATGTCAAAAGGAATAAGATAGCATGCGCTTTTCTAATAGAACAATATTTTTAAGCAATTCAAGACTCATCACCAGCATTTCTGGTCGCAATTATCTACTAGTACCGTTTCCTACTATGTCGATCTCTGTTTTGACAAGTAAAAAAACACTATTCTGATCGACGGACTGTTATATACAGTAAACCGAATGGCGACATACTTTGATATTATTACGACCTACGCTTAGAACATTTTGAAATTTGTATTGGTTTGCAAACATCATTGTCGCATACCTAGAAAGAAAAAATATCCTCCATAATTGTTAATCTCTTTATCCAGTATCTACAATGAAGCGGCTGATTTTGCGCTCAATCAAAAAAAAAGCTCTTTGGCAACATATGAAACAATTAGGTTTTCGTTACAAGTAGACGATCAGGATATCTATAGTACTCGAAGCAGTATCTCGAAAACTTCTTGTTCGTTAGATATAAATATATTTCTTCCTCAAGTTCTTGGTTTATATTAAGTTTTAATAATACAACTTGAACTCAAATATGATCCAAGCAAGGTTGATTAAGGCAGACAAGTGCAATATATGTCTTCAGGAAACAAAATGGACATTGCCATGATGATCAGCTTGATCGGAAATCAATTAGTCAACGTTTTTTTAATATTGACAATCAACTATATAAGAATTGTGTATGTTGGATGTCATATGTTTGTTAAGGTAACAACTTTGAATAAAGCTTGTTAGAATATACAATTATTGATACACATTGGTCACATTGCTTGAATCATTGATTGACTGTATTCGCGATTGTATGAAAGATGTCTAAGTCGAGTATGTTTCTTCCAGTGTTTTCAGAGAGTTTATCTCTTGTTCATAAATCGTTGGAGATCTATATGCCGATATTTTCCTTATGTTCATCACAAGATTTACTTGTCGCTCAAAGACGTAGCTAAGATTCGATTCGCAATTCATTAGACAAAGATTGCTTCTTCGTCTTCAGAGACATCGAAAGATTTTCATCTCATCGGTTAGATCATTCTAGACCGATCTTTTCCTATGCCCTTGAAAAAAGAACTGAAACGTTTTCTAATGGTACAAAGATTATATGGAAACTTTCGAAAGACTTATGAACAGCACAAGCTTAAGTTGCTAGAGGTAACAATAAACTGTTTACACCGACAAAGATAATAATTTTTCTATTTCAAAACTTATATTTAATTAATTTATTCGTTTTCAAAGGAGTGTGGATGAACGAAGCACTAACCATACCAACATTGACATTCTCGTTTATTTCTGTAATCTTATTATAGCACATCATGCTTAATTATTCCCCTACGAAATTTTTATTACAAGACTGAAAATAAAATAATTGTTATTCTGATTTTTAATTCATGTTCTAAATGCATCTGATTATCCGTCGATTATTTTTTTTTTGCAACAGAGGACACAAATATTCAAAATTTTTCTTATCATATTCCACTTCCTCTACTTGCTATTATTGATCAGTTTAAACGAACTTGTAGCACAATTTAGTCTAAAGAAAGTGAGGTTGTTAGAGTTCTTCAAGCTAGTTTGGATTTGAATGGATGATAAAATTTTCAAAAAAGCACTAGTCCTGACTACTACTAAGGACGTTTCAGACCAACCAAAGTCATTTGATATCGATTGATTCATGATTGTCTAGTAGATGGACGGTAGTCAATCTATGGTTTAGACTTTATAGACTGACGTCAGTCTATTTCAGTGTCTTAGTTTGCCATCAAAATGCTCGTCAGGTTTCGAATACTGTTGGATTGGATGTTCAAATTCACTTGTTATGTTCTTGTTTTATCTTCCGACTCATCTGGGCAGAGTTAATGAATAAAACAGACGAGACATGACTAGGTTCTAGGACTTTTTGGATTAGTCCAGACGTGTTTAAAGGACATTTCTTCAAAAAGTAACTAGTCATGGCGGATGTACAAGACATTTCAGACTACATCAGACCGGTATTACGAACATTTGAGACTAGCCATGACAGTCGTCTTCGTTTATTTTTTACTCACTTGGAGAAGACATTAAAAAAAAAGCCTATATCTTAAATTCAAAAAGTGATTTAAAAAAAATGCAAAGCAACGTAAGATTTTTGTTCTTTTTCACATGTATCTTTTTTTCTCTTTCTCTCGTTTTGAACTATTACAGATTATCATGTGTGGTGCATCAAATATAAATAGAAACAGCTGTTCCTAAAAAATATTCATAGAAGTGAGCAACGAGATAAACTTGCAAGATTGTCACCTTAAAAACCATATCCTCTTTATTCAAGATACATGTTCTTGAAACTAAGCGTATTCAGAAGTTACGCGGGTAAAAACAATTCTGATATTTCTACGGCTCTTGAAAGAAAAAACTTCAGTACATGTTTAACAATGATAATTCCAAAATCGAAAAAGAAAGTTTTTTGAGTCACGAAGAATGAAATCCTCTTAAACAACTGAAATTAGTTTTGCTGGGTGATTCTCGATTTTAAGGTTTTAATTGTTCCATGTAAACATTTATAAGTGAGACTTTATAAATATCGTCATTGTCACTTCTATTCGCGAGGGGACACCAGTCAACGAATTGTCAAACTGCTTAACTCACCCATGAAAAATACGGGGATTACCGAAACTTCATAATGATTCATCTGATTGAGATATAATACACTAAAGTAAAGCCTTGATATGAGCGACATCTGTTTAACAAAAATTTCATGGAACAATATCCAATCCAAACAGATATGAGTATTATTTGTTTCATCAGTCAAATTCATACTTGCCTTTCTTTTTCTGTATCTTTTTCGAAGTTTTTCATGCATACACCAAAGTAGATATCATCTACTCATAGCAGTTAATTTCTTTAAGATTTTTTTGAAATTATAATATGTCATCTGAATCTACGCCTGTTGTTCCTAATGATGAAAACGAATCTACAAAGCCGAAACGATTACCACGAAGTGCTAAAAAACGTTTACGCTATGAACGTATTCGTCAACAACGTAAAGAAGCTCGTAAAAAGAAAAAGAAACATACATCCTCTAATCATCCTTCATCATTAGTGTTATCATCCAGTTCTACAGATAGTGAAATATTTTGTTTTTCGGTTAATACATTTTTTTCTAATTGTTTTGTTTTTGTATCAAATAGTTTTAACCAACCAAAACATATCCGTTACTGGAAAAACATTTAAACGTACTGCTAATGAACGTTTAGCAGAAATTAATCGAGAATCAACAGCACCTATTATTTGTATTGATTGTGCTTATAATGAATCAATGTCAATTAAAGTTAGTTTATCGTATTTCTATGAAGATAGTCAATAAACAATAATTATTTTTTTTTATGAATAGGAATTAGCTAGTCTTGCTCGTCAAATTGGACGATGTTATAGTTCAAATCGTCGAGCAATAAAACCTGTTCAACTTATACTAACCAATTGGTCAAATGATAGTCCACTAGCAAAACAATGTCAACGAGTTAACAAAGGTTTTGATAATTTTCAAGTAACTACAAAAAACTAATACTTTTTTTTTTGTTTTTATATAATTAAAATAATAAATGATTGTATAGATAATTCTCAGTGATAAACCTATTCATGAATCTCATCCAATTGAATGTTTGATTTATTTAAGTCCAAATGCTGAAAAACAATTGACAGAAGTCAATGAAGAAAATATATATGTAATTGGTGGTCTTGTTGATGAAAGTGTTAGAAAAGTAAATATTTATTTATATGATTGACAAAAGAAATTTGTTTTTATTTAGAATATGACATATGGAATATGTCAAGATAAAAATATTACTTGTTACAAATTACCTATTGAAACTTATATGGAACATTCAATTAATGGTGGTACATTTAATCAAATTCTTTCGATTAATCAAGGTAAAATTGATACACTTGTAATTTCGGTAGCTGATTTAAAAAGTCTTAGTCAAGATCAAATAATGAGTATGAGAATTTATAATTGAGTTTCTGATGACACAAAAAAAAATGCATTGAGATCAGCATAAAAAGTTATAAATTTCAATTTCAACGGAAAATATCAAAATGATGAATCTTCTCTTTGTGACTATGCTTTTCTTTCCTATTAACCCTTAAGAGCCGAATGTCCCTTCCAAGGGACATTTAAATAATTGTAATCAAAGTCTTATAAAAATGTTGTAGACAAAAACCAATATTTTTCTGGATTGATATGACTTTCGAGGCCATACCTAGACCAAAATGTAGTATTCAGGTGGCTGTCAGGCGTAGCAAAACACTTTTTTCAATAACACCTTTCTTCCCTAAAGTTGTATCTATTCGGAGATGCGACATACAGTGTAGTTTATTTTAGGTTACACTCTTAAGCTTATCACCAAGCTATTCAATGTCAGCGTTCTAGAATCGTTTAACCAATCTACTGACAGATTGTGCCGTGATCAATAAAAAATTTCTTTGATAAGACATTCAGCCTCATAGAAGAATCAAAACAATGTATTTCTAACATGAAACTTGGCTCATACATAACCCTAGTAGTGTTTAGGAAGTTTCAAAATTTTCAGGAACAACTGTTGTTTCTTTCGCGAGATACAGAATATTGAAGTTTTTAGCAAAATTTAGCTGGTTTTTGGATTTCGAATATCTCAGCAAGAAAGCATCCGTTCTAAGTGAAAATTTCGGAGCATATTAAGTATTATCAAAACTATCTAAAGGCAAAGTTTCAGATCGAAATTCCTATTTTTTCGAATTTTAGAGGGATGGATATTCCTGCCAAAGGAGGTTGTGTAGGTCCAGAATAAGAAGAAGGTAATTATTTTTAACTGTAGTACGAGTATACTGAGGGACCATAATCTCTGTTTTTCTAATTAGATTCTCATTTTTATAAGCGGAAGCCACTTCGGCTTTTAAGGGTTAACAATGATAAATCTAACGATAATTATTTTACATTAATTTCCTACTTAAGAAGAATGTGAGAGTGGATGAAAAGAACAGATTTACACTTACACATTGTCACGAACTTCTTTTCTTTTTGTTTTTTTTTTTTGAAATTTTAGTATTTGATATTTTGCTTACATATATGACAATAAAAGATTGGGGACAAGCATTAAAAGAACATATACCTGAACGTAAAGGTTGGGTTATTAAAAATAAGCCAGGTAGATTTTATATGTTATTTTATTTTTTTATTTTTTTGTATTTTCTTAATTTAGATTTAGATGACAAAAAGAAAATAGATTTTGTTTAAATGTTTTGTTTTTTGATTCTTAATTTTAACTCTATGGAATATAATGTGATATATATATATACTTGTTTGTTGTTTCTTTTTTTTTTGCATCTTTTTCTAGATAATCATGTCAGATGAAGTTGATGATTTATCATTTCCAAATGCAGTTATTACTCGATTGATGAACGAAGCTGTAAATATTCAAAAATTTAATTTTATTTGTTAATTTTTTTATTTTTTATTTTAGTTAGATGGTTCAACAACTATTTCAAAAGAAGCTCGAACAGCTATGTCACGTGCTGCCTTAACATTTATATTATATATTAGTACAACGTATGTACTTATTTTAATATTAATAATAAAAATCTATTATTTATTTTATTTATTTTTTTCATAGTGCTAATCAATATGCTTCAAATGCTAAACGTAAAACAGTAACAGTTCAAGATATATTTAAAGCATTACAAACTAATCAATTTGATATGCTTATTGAACCATTACAACAAGCATTAAAAGGTTAATTATAAATGAGTATAAAAATTTCAAATGAATTTTTATTTGATTTAGATTATCAAGAACAAATTCGAAAAAAGAAAGAAGAAACATTAAAACAAAAACAAAATCAATCAGAATTATCTATTGAAAATAATGAGGAAGATGATAATAATAATAATGAACTTGAAACTGAATAAAAAAAACAGATATTTTTGTCAGATAATCATATATTAACATTTATTATTTTTTTTTCTCTTTATGTTATATATCAATGAAAATTAAAACTATTTGAAAAAAAAAAAGATATATTCTTTATTTACATTCTTATTTCAGATGCTATTCAATAATCGATAAATTCAAACATATTGAATTAACATGAATAGATAAAGGTGTACTGATAACTTCTACAAAATCAGTAGGTTTTATTTTTTCATTCTTTGTTTCGTATAAAACAAAACAAAAAAAAACGTGTCGTCTTCTTTTTACCAAAATAAAAAAAAAAGTAACCAATAATATCGATCGATATTATTCAATGAGTATGTCTCATGCTTAATGTTTTTGTCGAAAGAGGCGTTGTATTTAATCGAGACTGGGTTTATATAAATCTGTTCAAGGTTTTCGATGTTAATATTATTTATTTCTAAGTATAAGTTAATTTTCAATAAATTTAAAGTTAGTAGAACTTCTGTACAAGCTTATAGACAAAAAAAATGTAAGACAAACCTATCAATGCTTATGTCGATCTTTGATATACGAAAAAAAAACAAAGATTTTTTCAAGTGATCTTTAAAAAATCATTGAGTTGAAACTGAGTGCTCAGAACTCTTTAATGATCTCTGTTATATTACAACTGAATGAGTGATATCTTCACTAAATGAAATTTTTGTTATTCTAGTTTTAATAATATCGAATATTTCAAAGTTATTATAAACATTTATTGAAAAATCAAAATGTCAATTACCAGTACATCATCAATGTCTGGTCGTGAAAATAAAGTTGTTCCCGGTAATGAAATAAAATTTTATGTAATTAATAAATTATTCGTTTCTTTTTTTTTCGATTTAATAGTTTTTCCTTGGTTTGGTATGGATATTGGTGGAACATTAGTTAAACTTGTTTATTTTGAACCACTTGATTTAACAGCTGATGAAATTCGAACTGAAGGTGAAATTTTAATGAATATTCGTCATTATTTAACATCAAATCGTGCTTATGGACAAGATGGTGTACGAGATCATACACTTGAATTAAATAATATACAATTAGGTGGTCGTCGAGGAAATCTTCATTTTATTCGTTTTCCAACATCAAAAATGCCAAATTTTATTGAATTATGTGCTATGAGACATTTACATACCTTAACATTTGAAATATTTGCAACAGGTGGTGGTGCTTATAAATTTGAAAAAGAGATTGTTGAAGTAAATTTTAGTTTATTGTTTATAAAAAAAAAAAAAAACGAAATAATTCTGTTTTTTTTTTGTTAATTCTAGAAATTAAAAATAAGTTGGTATAAATGTGATGAACTTGATACATTAATAAAAGGTTTAAGTTATTTAAGTAAACTTAATCCACAAGAATGTTTTTATTATGAAGAACCACAAAATGAATCTAATCCAAATAAACATCCATTTACATTTGATATTAAACGTCCATTTCTTTTAGTTAATATTGGAAGTGGTATTAGTATTTTACATGTTGATTCAGAAAGAAATTATCGACGTATAACTGGTACAAGGTTAGTTATGACAATGTTCTAATCAATTGATGATATGATTTATTTATTTATTTTTTTGTATATTCTATATTATAGTATAGGTGGTGGTACATTTTTGGGTTTATGTTGTTTATTAACAGGATGTTCAAGTTATGATGAAGCTATTAAATTAGCTAGTGAAGGAGATAGTACAAAAGTAAATTTAAATTATTTGCAAAATTATTTTTTCTTATTGATTTATTGAATAGGTTGATAAATTAGTTAAAGATATATATGGTGGTGATTATGAAAGATTCGGTTTACCTGGTCATATTGTAGCTAGCAGGTAAAATTTAAAAGAGATTATATGTATTTAGAGTATACAAAAAAAATAATATTCTATATTTTTTCAATATTTGATCATTCTTCTACTAATATGATAATAATAAAATTGCGATAAGAGCTATTTGTTATGATATTTGATAGTAATATTAGATTACATTTTGTCTTTAATATCTAGCCATCTATACATATTCAAGTGTAGAAACTCAAAAACAAGTTCATCAAGTCTTTATTTTATTAAATGTTCGAACTAATTTCGTCCTGATTATTGACACACTCAATTGAATGCATTTATTGAACGGTTTTCTATATTCTTATAAATCCAAAGAATGTTTAGAGCACGTTATAACGATCTAGAATTGTTTGAGTAATTAAAAATCATATGGTGTTAGCACACGAAAAATTACTTAAATAAAAAACTTGATAAATTTTTTTCTATAGTCTAATATGTATAGATGACTAAACATTGAAGACAAATACTGATCAAATATTACCGTTACATTTTATAATAAATAGCTCGTATCGAAATATTATTATTATTAGTTGAAGAATGATCAAATATTAGAGAAATGCAGAATATTGTTGTTACTATCGGACTATAAAGTAAGAGGATTTCTTTTAAAAAAATTAATTTATCTTCGCCACTTTTTTTTGCTATACCCTAAGTAGAAATTCATAATTGAATACCTCTAGAAAATAAGCAGATAATGCACATAATACATATATGTAGATATGGGTCTTTTCTCTGTATCTACACTCTCATCACCGGCTCAAGCCCATATTTCAATGTCACTGAATCTTCTCGTATGTATACTTGTTTCAAATAAAAAATGCTTGGATATAAAATCTACTACATCGAGAATGATAATGAATCAATCACAATGAATAATCTTTATTTATATATTGTTCATGTCTAATACTATAATGATCAACAATCGTGTTTATTACTTTTTTTCTTTTTGTATGATATCATGGTTTGATTCGTAGATGTAACTAAATTTATTTCAGCGCATAGCGAATGAGATTTTCAGTCTATTTTTCTAATCATCATGATATGATACATGTCATTGCTTGAGTAGGTTTTACTATTTATTTTTTGTGTTCTACATTATGAAATGCTTTTCTTAAAAATATTTGATATATTATAGATTCTTTTTTTAAATTATCTAATATCAAAATTCATATGATAACAAGTAAGTATATTAGATGTAGTTCATTGCAATTTTTATTGCTCTTTGTGACTTTAATCGATGAAAAATAAGAAGCTGCTAGATAATGATATTGCTATTGTGTATTTTTTGATGATTCATCGAGCTTAATCTTTATGCTAAAACTAGTTAAACTTGTAATAATGACATGAAGTTGTCTGTTTTATGCTATTTTTTTGTATAATATGAAAAAAAAAACTTATATTTTTTTTAATTTATTTCATATACAAGCATTTCTTATCAATAAACAAGTATCTATATGCATATGTATATAGTACGTAACTCGTGCTATACTGTAATAATATTAAATAAATCTTCATAAATGAATAAACAACACTCAAAGTTATATAAGACTTGTGACTCGTTTTGTAACTGTCATTCATTAGTTTAAATCAAAGAACATAAATAAATAGTACTTGTTTTGAATGTATACAACTAAAACTATGCATTGATATTCTTGCTGACAATCAAAGCTGTACAAGTACAGATTTTTCCGGCATCAGAGTAACGACTAGAGTTACCAATAGATAACTTTTTCAACCTGGTGTGCAAACTTTCAGGAGGATAGTCTCGGTCATATATTCAGTTTCTCTCAATTAAAATGATTCTCCTTCACTAAATAGTAAATCAAAACATATAGAACTATGCAAAAAAAAAATACAGTCTTATTTATACGAAGAATTATACTTTCAAATCATTTCTAATTTCATCAGTACACTGTTCTATTACATTAAAAACTATGTATCATCAGAAAGAAATTACACGCATCAAAAAAACAGAAAATACTATTAATGTCGGTTAGAAACATTTGTTTCTCATCGTCGCCTATTGAATTACATATTCATTCTTCTTATTCATTGAGACATATTCTTGACATTTTCCGAGTTAGATGACAATTTAAAATCTTCGAAGTTAAAGCTAGTAGTTATTATTTCTTCTTACTATTTTCGCAAATGAAAGTTAAAGACCACATAATGTCTTTGACTTTCTCTCCTTTGCATATAGTTTTGAATTTGAATATTTTTAGTTTCGGTCATATGAATTTATCAGAAAAACGTGAACAAGCAACCAAAGCTGATTTAGCACGATCAACATTAGTAACAGTTTTAAATAATATTGGTTCAATATCAATAATGTGTGCTCGAACTGAAGTAAACGAAATCTATTGAATTTCTTTTTTTTTTTTCATTTGATTGATATATGACTTGGTCTAATCATGTATAGAATGTTGATCGAATATTATTCAGTGGAAGTTTTTTACGTATTAATGATTTATCAATGCGAATATTAGCTTATGCTATGGATTATTGGTCATGTGGTCAAATTAAAGCTATATTTCTTGAACATGAAGTAAGCAAAATGAAATAAGTTATTTATTTATTTTTCTTTTTTCTAGGGTTATTTTAGTGCTGTTGGTTGTTTAAGAAATTTTATGATGGACGCAAATGGTAGTGAAACTGATTTCACTCATTCCTTGCAACATTGATTCGTTTTTTAAAATAATATTGTTTTTATGTGATAACTTTCAAAAAAAAGAAATTTGATAAACCACCGTATTGTTTTGTTTTGTTTTGTTTTATGGAAATGTATAATGGTTTTAACATTTGTGCTATCTATTTGTTGAAGATTTAAAACAAAACAAAAAAAACACATGGTAGATCTTGTAAGTTTCTTCCATATTTTTTGTTTTTTGGAATGTTGTTCGAAACACTGGGTACCGAATAACATGACAGGTAAATTTTAATTGTTTTTTTTTTTTTTATAAGTTTTATTTTGTTTTAATTTTCGAAGAACTTGATCTACGGTTAAAAGAACAATTGATGGGACAACCACTTGCACATAATCTTATACTTAAATCTATTAGTTCACATATTAATACTGAACATCCATCGAAAGCTCTGGTGCTTTCTTTACATGGAAGTACTGGTACAGGTAGGCATTATAAAGATTGTATTTTTTTTTTGTAAGAGTTCATTTATTGTTTTGTACATGTATTGAATGCATATGTAGGTTGATCTTTTCTTAATGTTGTTAATCTAAACACAATAGCTCATAAAATCGTTTGCTAAAGTTTATTTTCATTCTTTTTCTAAGAAGAGGGTATTTGAAAAACTCTAAACTAATATTTTCAGCTACTAGAATTTGCTAATCGAATTCTGTTTGAATTGTACAGAATGAATTATTTTTTAATGCTCTGTCTGATTTTTTCTGTTAGAGGAGATCATTCTTGTGTCTTCCGTAAAGATTAATGGATCACTGTGAAAAGACTGCACAGATGAAAACGATATTTTCTATGTAGATTCTTATAAGTGATTAGGGTAGTGAAAAAAACTTGAAAATACATCTGGATAAATAATTTTGAAAGCTTTTCTTCAGTTAGTTCTTGTTGTTCTTTTACCTTTTGAATGGTTTTGTTATGAATTAAACAAAACCTATATAAACGATATAAAAACAAAAAAGATTTGGTTATAGAAAATGTAGATTACCAGTGCTATTAAATATAAGAGTTGAAAACAAGGTGATCGATTTTCTTATCTATTATTTTATGGATCAATTCGTGATTATCGTTTGGTTTTGTGTTTTTTGTTTTTTTACAAATTATGTGTTTCTAACTATCAGCGATCTCTGCATTGGCTTTAATAAGCATCTTTACGTATTGTTAAAATTCAGTAAAGTATGAATTGATAAACATTGTAGTTAATATTGAATTTACTAATAGTTGAAAATTCTTACGATTTTATCAATATTTTTTAATTATTTTTCACATAGGAAAGAATTTCGTTGCTAAACATATTGTTGAAAGTCTTTATCGGAATGGTTATAAAAGTAAATATGCTCGACTCTATGTTGCTTCACGTGATTTTATGCATCATGATGAAGAACATCTTCAACAGTATAAGGTATGTTAATAACGTAAACTTAATTGGATGAAACCCATTGACCTATCATAGTATTTTTGTTTTTTATATACACACTTTTTTTTGCATATAGGACCATATAAAACACGACATTGAAAGAGCAACAAGTGGTTGTCAATATGCAACATTTGTTTTTGATGAGGTTGATAAAATGCCTATGAAATTACTCGAAACTATATTATTTTATATTGACTTTCATTCTCCTACTTATGCACAACCTATTGATTTTCGTAAAACAATATTTATATTTTTAAGGTAAAATGCTATATATTTAAAAATCGCTAGAAAAAAAAGTCAATTGCAATATTTTTACATAGTTCGATAGAGCATAACGAAGTCTATTAGAATATATCTATCAAAAAATTCTTAAGAAATAATAAAAAGGGTGTTTCAAGGTCGGTAAGATTAGATGTGGAAGAGTCGATGACTCGAAAGACCGAATATTGTTTAAACTGAATTATTTCGTAGTTGCATTTCTGAAGAATATCTAATCTTTCATAAATGATATGGTTTTTTTATTTGACAATTTGCTTTTTCCAAAAATTTTTCTTCTCGGATAATATGGTTTTTTTTTCGTCTAAAAGAGCATATCTAAATTCGTTAGTTGAATGAAGCTTTGTTACTAATTTTTGAAACATGAACCTTATCTTCTCTTAGAAAGTAAGAATTTACAAATTAGATAGAATACAACAATCTTCTTATGATTATCGACAGCAGTTATATTGTGTTTCACATATTAATCATGCGATGTTTGTACTAACAGCTTTTTTTACGATCAGTTTTATCCTATAGTCTTATACGAGGTGAATTTTGATAGAAAGTATTTTTTTTCTAATAATATACATATATGCTATTGTATGAAGGATCTTAAAAGTCGTATAATTTTTGCATGAAAAGCAACCCCTTTCATAGTCAAAAATTTCACTTATGATCATAGTTTTTGACAGTGATATGAATGAAACTGGTTATTTACAACGTCACTCAAGTGTAACATTCAAAGGATCAAACAATCCTAGTTTTGTTAGTCTCATACAAAGGAAGAAAAAACATCTGTTCTTTCAATGATATTCCTTATAAATTTTTTTTTTTATTCTTATAGATCTTATCGAACTATGTAAAAATATCATTATTGATTTTTCTTTGATCAATTTAAAACTAACTAATTACTTGAAAAAAAATAAAATCTTCATTTTAGTAATTTGAATTTATTCTTTAGTAATACAGGTGGCAAAGATATTAATGTTATTGCTCAGAATAATCATTTTGCTTCTATACAACGTAAAGATTATAATATAACTGAATTTCAACGAGCTCTTGCAAATGCTGCATTTAGTGAACCAGGTTTTTTTTATTTTTATTTTGTTTTTGCATAAAATTTTCTTTCTTTTTGTTTTTATATGAAAGGTGGATTATGGCATGCATCATTAATTAATCGACATTTGGTGACTTTTTTTGTACCATTTCTTCCACTTGAACGTACTCATATTCGTACATGTATTCAACGACAACTTCAATTAGCATATAAAAATGATCAATATGAATATACATTGTCTGATAATGATATTATTGATCATGTTCTTGATTTAATTGAATTTGCACCACCAGATTCTTTACTTTATTCTGTCTCAGGATGTAAAAAAGTTCAACAAAAACTTGATTTTATATTAGAAAGTCATCGGATGATAAAACCAAAGAAATCTATAGAAGAATTTTGAATGAATGAATGTTTATGAGTCGTTATTTGGCTGTGATTACATGTTATTATTTTTTTTTTGTCTGTGTTTCTCTACTTGTGATTTTTTTTGTATTTCAAACAATCACGCATCATTGCACAACGCTCTTTTTTTTTTTTTACTTTTCTATAGTTATTGCAGATTTTTTTTCTATTTTTCAGTATGAATAATATGAGTGTTAAACAACAACAGTTTGAATCATTGAACAGTGAAGTAAGTTTAGATTTTAAATATAAAATATAATGAAATAAAATTGTTCTTTTACTTTTTCTTTTTATATGTTTTGTATAGATACAAATTTTACAGAAAAAATTAGACAGTAAAACAAAAGCATTTGCAATCTTAATAAATGAACTTGAAACATTAAAACATGAACGTGATCAATTTAAATCACTTGTCGATAGT